TTTCTGACCATCGCTCAATTAAATCTCATTTAAATATTCATGGAGACCTACAAGACACTATTCGTAACATACTTGTTGACAACACTAATACAATAGCATCAAAACCATGCAAAAAAGGCTAAAAATAATGGAAGCCTTATTAATAAAAACAAAAAAAAACAACACTTAATAATATTAACTTCGAACATGGACACAATATCTTGACCGTGTTCTGAAAAATGAAATCATTTTATAAAACATACATACAACAAACTATTTCTTATTGAACAGTTAAAATATATAATCCTTGAAAATGGCTAAACGTATAGCCGAAAGCGCTCGGATAAAAAGAACATCCGGACAGTTTTTATATAATTTATCATAAAAAAAATTACAGATCACATGAGAAATTCTATAATAAACTAAATAAAAGCACCTTGTCTGTCGTACTCAATGAAATGTGCATTCATGAAAGATTTCTGCCTAAATATACATACATACATACACATATATATATATATATATATATATATATATATAAATACTATTGATAATATATATATATATATATACTATTGATTATATATATATATATATATATATATATATATATATATATATATATATATGTATGTATGTATTTATATAGGTACCTTAAAAAAAAAGCAAAACCTAAGGTTTGAATGAAATTTTTAAAATTAAATATCTTTCTTGTCAGCTTGACAGCCCGAAATTTAACTATTTTTTTTACTTGAATATAATGTAACCACCTGTTGTTATATAATTTTTTAACTACCCAATAATCTTTAAAAAAATATGAAAATATTTTAAGTTATCTAATGTTTTATGGAATTTGATGTACTTTAAATTTACTATAGTTATCGCTCTTATTTTTATAATATCGTGTATGGACGTCCGTATTTGCAAAAGTCGTCACGTTTAAACACACTCAAAATATCCAAATCCTTTTAAAATAAAAACATATTTTTAAATATTAAAAATAAATAAAAAATTAATAAATAAGAATATAAATAAATATAAATAAAAGTTTTAAATTTATAAAAATTAAAATAAATTCTAAAATATGATTTTATAAAAATTAAAATAAATAATAAAATATAAATTTATAAAAGTTTTATAAAAATTAAAAAAATATATATAAATATAAATGAATAATAAGTAAAATATATAAATTTATATAAAAAAATATAAATAAATAATAAAAAATAAATAAATAA